CGGTGGCATCGCCAGCACCGAGTCCTATGGCACCTACAAGGGGCAGGTGAGGGTGGCTCCGTGTCCCTGCTGGGGTCCCCCAGCTCTCAGGATGTCTCTCCTGGGGCTTTAAAGCCCCAGCTGGGCTGAGCAGGGTGGGCAGAGGTGGTAACAGGTTCTGGAGATGGGGTGTCACCTCCTCCCCCAGGCACCAGGCTCACCGAGGTTCAAAGCCCAATCCAAAGCCAAGCCCCAGGGCTCAGCAGGGTGGTTTCATCACCTCGTGCCTCAGTTTCTCTTCTTGCAAAACAGGGATGAGGCTTCTCCACCCATGGGTGGTGCTGTGGGTCCCTCCGTACCCTGGGGCACGGGGATGGAGCAGGACTGCCTGGGGACAGGGACGTGGCTGCAAGACACAGGTGACAGCCCCCCAGGGCTTCAGGTGCAGAGCCAGCTCCCCGTGTTGCACGTGGGCAACACTCTGTCCTTGCAGCAACTGGGAAAATGTCCCCACTGTGGTGGGCAGGGGAGGACAGAGGGGTCAGAGCCAGGATGCTGTCACAGCCCGAGTCTCTGATCCCTCCCCGCAGAGCTGCACGGGGGTGGGCAGGGTCCCAGCGAGGGGACCTGGGGGCTCCTGGTGACACAGCATCCCCCTTCCTGGGTGCCACAGAACGGCCTGTGCCACTACAACCAGTCTGAGATGCTGGGTAAGATCACGGGCTACGTGAACGTCACCTCGGGCAACATCACAGCGGTCAAAGCTGCCATCTACAAGCACGGCCCCGTGGCCGTCAGCATCGACGCCTCCCACAAGACCTTCTCCTTCTACTCCAATGGCATCTACTACGAGCCCAAGTGTGGTGAGTCGGGTGGCACGAGGGGCACGGGAAGAGCTGGGTGCCCAGGTTGATGCCAAGCCAACAGGAGATCTCCTCAATGAGCAGCTTGGGCCAGGGGGGGAGGAAGGAACCGGCCCCAGCGCGACCAGGAGGCCTGGCAGGAGGGATGGTCTCCAGATGGAGATGTTCTCCAGACCAAACCCATCTCCCATGGTGTTCCCCCAGGGAATGAGTCGGGCACGCTGGACCACGCCGTGCTGGCCGTGGGCTACGGGGTGCTGCAGGGAGAGACCTACTGGCTCATCAAGAACTCCTGGTCCACCTACTGGGGCAACGACGGCTACATCCTCATGGCCATGAAGGACAACAACTGTGGCGTGGCCACCGAAGCCACCTACCCCATCCTGGCCTGAGCCACCTCTCAGCTCTGCAGGGAGAGCCCCCAGCGATGCTCTCAGCACCCATCCCAGGAGCAGTGTTGAGCCCTTGTGCAGCAGGAAGCTGGGGACACGGTGGGACAGGGCCGTGGGGTGCTGGCCAACGGGCAGGATGGGGACCCGGCTGTGACCTTGCCAATAAAGACCCTGGAAAAATATTGGTGGGCTTGGACAGGAGGGATCTGATTGCTGCCCACCCAACCCTGCCCCCTTTGCAGAGCCCTGTGCCACAGCACATGACAGCCCAGGACCCTGTCCCCTGCCCAGGACCCTGTCCCCAGGCTTGTTTTCTGTGTCCTGTGGGACTGCAGGGACCCCAGGGAGGGCATGGTGCCCGCCTGACAGAGCCAGTTGGCTCTCACAGACACCCAGGGTGAGGGGAGCAGCTTTTCCAGGTCTGTGTCTGCGAGGTGGAGCACAAACAACCCCAGGGGATTTCTGCTGAGATGGGGAATTCCTGGCGCAGGGTGTTGTGGAGGAGGGGGAGGCATCCACCCTCTGCCCCACTGCCCAGGTCCTTGTTGTGGCTACGGGTGGGGATGGCACTGGTGGTGTTGGCCAACACCAAGAGCCAGGCCCCCTGCACCCTGCGGGGCTGCTGCTCTCCAAAGAGGGAAAAGAAGGGCAACAAAGCTGCTGGGGAAGGGTCTAGAGCCCAAGTGTGGGGAGGAGCAGCTGAGGGAGCTGGGGGTGCTGAGCCTGGAGCAAAGGAGGCTCAGGGGAGACCTTCTGGCTCTGCACAGCTCCTGACAGGAGCCGGGAGCCAGGGGGGGGTCGGGCTCTGCTCCCAAGGAACAAGGGACAGGACAAGAGGAAACAGCCTCAGGTTGCCCCAGGGGAGGTTGAGGTTGTCCCTGAGGAACAATTTCTTGCCCTGGAGGGTTGCCCAGGGCTGTGCCAGGCTGCCCAGGGCAGTGGTGGAGTCCCCACCCCTGGAGGGGTTCCCAAGCTGTGGAGATGTGGTGTGAGGGACACGGGGCAGTGGGGACCTGGCAGTGCTGGGGGATGACTGAACTCCATGATCTGAAAGATCCTTTCCAGCCAAAACCATTCTGTGATTCCAGAGAGATACTTTACACCATGGCCATGGCTCACTGGGTGCCCTGGTTTGGACTGGAGGCTCTTGGGAGAGCAGGGTCAGTCTGAGAGCACCCTGCAGACAGAGGAGGAAGGTGTCTCTGCCCTGGCCCTGGTGGTCCCCACCTCCCCTGGGGCACCCCTGGGGCAGGAGGCACCTCACACTGCTGTGCTCTGATGGCTGTGCTGGGGTCCCTGGGGAGGTGCTGCAGCACAGGGAGCAGCAGCCCAGCCCTGCACCCATGGGTGCAGCCGAATCCAGCCCCACTCAACCCTGCTGACAGGAGCAGCCCCCCCTCGACGGGCCCTTATCAGCTTTGTTTAGGGCTCGGGTGGCCCCGCGGGTGCTCGCTGTCACCTTGGGCTGGGGGCCAGCTGGACGTGCAGCAGGCAGGAGGGGTGAAGGCCACCCTGCCCTGGTGACACTCTGCCCCCCTCCCCGAGTCTGTTTTTCCATGGAGCTCTTCACCTTTCATCTGCATCTTTCCCCTTTTTTCCAGTTGCTCTCGACAACTCCCTGAGAGGAGGTTGGAGCGAGGTGGGGGTTGGTCTCTTCTCTCAGGTAACCAGCAATAGGATGAGAGGCAATGGGCTGGAGTTGCAGCAGGGGAGGTTTTTGAGATCTTAGGAAGAATTTCTCTCCTGCCAGTGGGGTGAGCCACTGCCCCAGGCTGCCCAGGGAGGTGGGA